AACCAAAGATCCAGGAAAAATGTCAGAAGAGTGCACAAAAAACGAATTTGTACTACCAGGGACATCTGTCCTACCAACAAGTGGTTGGTGGTAGCAACAGATCCCAGAATTCCAGCATTGCAAGTCAACAGTACTAACCACAAAGCCACTATGCTGATGATGGTTAGTAGATCAGTTTCCATGACCATACAAACCTTGGTAAGAACAAAAAGGAAAGGTGCAATGTTTTACAAATTAAACACCAAGAACAGACTTTTTAAAGCTATATTAGGGTTTGGGACTATTTTCTTTTTTAACAAATTGTTTATTAGGGAGGGGGAGAGATGGGAATTAGCCATTGATTTGACTTTTCATTTGTTTTTTGTACGCTTGAGCTTTTGGACTCTATACCTAGACTTTTTTTCCACGAAAGGTAAGGAGACATGTGAATAGGGGCTCAAGAGTGTCACCTGCTGACTTCTGCCTCTGAAAATACAAAACATTCATATAAAATGTGTCAAATTGGCCTCATTAAAATGTTTATTTTTTTCTTTGCATTTTTACAAAGTAAAATAACTACAAACTATTATACGTTACCTTTCATGAATCATGGCAGAAATGGAAGAAAACAAAGCCTCTGAAGTAAATCTGCACACACAGGGACATGGTTTCATATAAAATTCACATTTGTTCTACTAGGGATTTCTGACCCAACAAGTGGTCATTGGTGGGAGCTGAGCCCAGGATTCCATTATTGCCAGGCAGCAGTATTAGCCACTATGCTGCTAATGTCCAGTAGATCAAGAACACTGAAACCTTGGTGGGAAACCAGCCTGAGTTTGATTCAGAAACCAAAGATGGAATACCAACTGACAATAAGCAGTTTTAATAGACAGAAGAGGGAAATCTGCAAACTCTACTACTGTAAAAAGTGTTGTATTTATAGTATATGTATTAATATACTGTACATATAGTGTTAAATATACTATAGTACTTTATATATTTTTTTTTATATATTGTAATATATATTGGTTTTTATTTTATATATAGTACTATTTATCTATTTATACTGTATTTATTCACACCAAAACAATCATCAAAGTGGATTTTAAAAGCTAAAATCTAGGCAAATATTTGGGTACAATAACAGATACAAATGAATGCAGCATATTAATCATTAATACATCATTACATATATTATTTTTTCTTAATTTATCAGTGTTAGCACCTTAATTTAATGTGGCATTTTCCTACTGCAGTCCCTGTACGGCAGCAGCGCTCATAGTAGGAAAGTGAGAAGCAGCACAAGGAGACAATCAGTTTCTGTGCTGACAAAGAGCATGCTGATACGAGGAGAAATCAGGGCGATGGAGAGATGAACCCAACACTTTGCTGCGTCTCCTTTGCTGTCTAGTCACCGGCTAGGGCAGGTCGATGACAGCCTTGGCTCAGAGGGAGGAGGTTGAGTGATGCTGACCATCCTTCAGCCCAGAAGCTGAGGACATTGTGTGGCAAGAAAGAAGTGCTGCATGATAAATTACTGGCATGGCAGGTTTGTATTGCAGCAAGAGCTGTTCTTTGATTGTATCTCTCAATGAGCTTTTTATTTTTACTTTGGTGCTCCTTAAAAATAAATACCCAGAAAGCAGCCTATGTATAAATAGGCATACTACTGCTGCAGGGGGTTATATCAATATGTTTAAAAAAAACTCTCAGCTGAAATAATTGCCTTACATTTGGTTAATTTAAAATAGTGAGAAGTATGGTTTCTAACATTGATAGCGCACAACAATTCTGTCAGAGCTAGTAGTAGTTATTACTTTGCTTCTGTATAATTATTATTATTGTAATAAAAAAATGTAAACCCTTACTACGCCGCCTGATGAATCATAAAGCAATTGTGTTCCACCTGTGGCGGTAGTTGAAGAAACATTTTTTAATTCCAAATTACAGACTATTTTTACTTTTGATAGCTATAATTATAAATGCGGCTTTTATTTGCACATTAAAAAACTATTTTAAGAGACTAAATATTTAAAAATCCCATTGGCTTGTAACTCTGAATAATTCAGCATTATTTGTAATTGGCTATTACAAATAAGGTATTTTATTACTCTATTTAAAGAAGCATTAAAATACAAAAAGATAAATTATTTATTATTATTAAAATAGAATGCATTTAAATGTTCTGGTAAAGAAACACTTGTCTGAACTGGTAATCCGCAGCAATAAATCCATTTGACATAACAAGCTTGTGGTCACAATAAAAGTCAATAGAGGAAAAGGGTGATTGTGAACTCTAAGTTGAGGTATCCATACGTGGACTAAGGGTATGCACAGCTTATATTTCACTGTACAGCTGCAGACAAGTTACCACGTGGTGTGTTTGCCAAATGGTGACCACACAGTGCAATGTTTTTGAACTGCGTCCTTGTTAGCTTGCAGCGAGCATCACCTGAGTGCTGCAATTTTATGGTGTTTTGTGGTTTTTTTTTTACTGTGGACCTGTTGTTCAATTAAAGCTTTACATTCATTGGTCCCCTGCAAAGAAGACATTGACTGCTCTCCTCAATTGCTGCCTGGCCCGCCAAAGTCTACTGTAGTGAAACCACCGGCTGAAGGTCCAACAGAATCTGGCAAGTTTTAGGAGTGTTGGACCCTTGGTCCCCCTCACTGCCCTCAGTGAACCTAGATCATTACTGTTTTATGTCAATAGGTAAGAGTTGGTGAGAGGGACCCCGGAAATCAACATGCCCAGACGTTTCAGATTCTGCTTGGTCTCTAGTCAGTGGTTTATCTTCACTACAGAAGAGTTTGGTGGCATGGGCAGAAGGAGAGGTGAATATTTAATATCTTCATTGCAGGGGCCATTGAATGTATAGTTTGATTTTAGTTCCTAGAGACCCCTGTACTGTAAACCACCAGTCCCCACACAATGCAGAAGATGCAGATTGGACATGACAAGGGTATTGTATACGTCTCTGGCTAAACATAACAAACCCTCTAACTTCATCCCTCTTTCTCAATTAATTTGACACGACACCAGTATTGGATTTTTAGTGGCCACAGCAGCCATTTTTATTAAGTACAAAACCATATAACAAAAACCTTAACAAAATCAACTGACAATGGGAATTAAGGTCCTTGAAGGTCATTCCACAACAAACCAACCATTATCTGCCTACACGGCCCCCAGCCGCACGACACCGCCTCGGGGACTTTGCAGTATAACAGCAGATACCAGGGTCACTAATGAACAGACCCGTTAACACAGGGATGCCATACCTGAGACGGCTCCCCACTCAATGAAACGTCAACTGGACATGTTGCTCCTCAAGGACCCTAATACCCTGCCCGGCCGCAGTGACAATCGTAAAACTAAAATAAAACAAAAAGCAGTCATAGAAAGTAAGAGGACAACACAATAAAATTGACAACAGAATAAGAGGGTGGGAGGGTGGGACGCTGCTTCCATGCTGCTGACTCCGTCTGTATCTGGAACTTTCTTTCCTCAAGGATACACCTATCACTCCTCCTCTTATCTCCCTGACCAATCGGGTAAGCTTTTCCCACTTTTAACCTCCCCTTATCTATATGAACATATTAACCCTTGTATCCCTCCCTTTTGCCTCTACAAACCCAGTCATGCAGGCCTTACACATACGCCTCCGTCTGTTGTTCCAGGCCTGTCTGGTGAAAGGGCAAATGTCATTATTCAGGTGATCTTTCCTCACCTCAGCTGACTCAAGCTAAAAAGTCCAATAAAGGAGTAAAGTAAATGTAGCTAAATGTGGGGAAAATGTATGAGTTACAATTCATGAGAAAGCCTGCACAGTTGGAATAACTTAACACTGAGTGTTCAGATTGCTGTAAAAAGCCAGTTTTGACTGGTACTCTCTAAGGTAGCCATTTTGGGAACATGACTGTGGTGGCAACATTAACTAATGCCTTCTGGGCTCATTTTCACCCCAGGTCGGTTATTGGGCATCTCAGACCCTAGCAATTCCCACTGCACACAGGGTCCATGCCTCCACTCATTCTCTTACTGTATGTTGGTGGAAATGTGTGTGTTTGGGAAGTCCTAGCAGCCAGTAGTGATGTAGCATGGCGATTTACTGGATCTAACCCTCCACATCAACTTAACCCACCTCCCACTTAGCAGTCACCAGATATTAAGTCAGGGGTGAATGAATAAGTATGGAATTCAGGAGCCAGTCTGTCTAATCCAGGAGCCAGCAGGATTTTTTTTAGCAGCAAGTTTTATTGACAACAACTAGAGGAAAGCTCAGAAATTAGGCTCCAGCTGTAATTTTTAAGGAGCATTGGCTACCTGGCTCCTTTGATTTATTCAGCCCTCTATTATCCATAGACTTGGCTTTTCAAGTCTAATGTAAAGGGAAGCTGTGTGATCCTAAACCTAATGTAACGTAAAGCTCAGACATCCTTAGCTCACAGCGCTACTTGAGGTTGCTGCACCAGCACCACCCTCAAATCTTCAAATCAGTTTCTGTATTGCTGTGAAGCCCCTTGGACTTCAGGCCCAGGTTGTACACTTGATACCTGTCCTAGCATGTGTCCTAGTCTGAAATCAACCAAACTCCTGCTATTTCGTACTCCAACACCTCTAGCATTGTACGATTAACTAGCAGGATGTGGGGCTAAGCACAAACCTCTGTTATAACTGTACACAAAAAACCTTCATGGAAAGTCACAATTACAATTTAAAAAAAAATGACAATTTAATCCCTTAGTACGTACCGTTACAAATATCAATATTGGCACAAGAGTAACACAGCTTGACTAACATCTGCATTGCAAGCAAAACTATCCAGTCTGTGTAACTGCAGTTATCATTTTATCAAATTTATTTCTAGTGCTTCCAGGATTTTCCTTTGTTACCAATGATAAAAATTAAACATTTGCGGTTTTATTAAGGTGGCACTGACAAAGCTTCAGTGAAGAGTGTTGTGTGGCTTTTGTTTTTGTCCTTCCCAGAATAACATACTTTTTTCTTCACACAGGTGATGTGGGTATGTAATTTGTGCCGAAAACAACAAGAAATCCTCACAAAATCCGGAGCCTGGTTTTACAATACTGGGTCAAATACAGCACAGAAGCCCGGTGAAGAGGCCCTGGAAGGGCTCCAGAACGAAGAAGCACCTCAGGAGAAGAAGGCTAAGCTGCAAGAGCAGTCCCAGTACCAGGGACCCTCAGGGGACTTAATCACATCAGCCTCAGACAAAAGCCGGCCGCAAGGGATCGTTAGGCAAGACTCCATTAAAAATGGCTCTGGAATAAAGCATTCAGTTCCCAGCGATCTACCATCTGACAGGTAACACTGCCCAACTATTGTGTTGGTCCCAACCTTTGTGTTGGGACCATTATTGCAGAATGCTACCTAATTTCTTTTACCAAATCTGCAAACACCATTTTCCCCATGAGCTACTAATGTTGTTCCAACTGATTGACAGTTACTAGGTAATGCAGGAAGAGGCCACTATTAAACTATATCTAAAGCCAAGATGTTTTTTGTAGGAAATGGTTTAAACCACTGTCATGTTTTGCTCTGCTATCTTTGGGGAGATTTCCCTTCATTTCCTGACTCTGTGTCACAATAGAAAGTAAGAGGGCACCGAGAGCAATACAACATTCTGTCGAAAACAAGACTGGCTTTAGATACACTTTAATATGGTAGTTCAAATTTTAAGGATAGAACATTTAGAATAAGATATTGATAACGGCATCCAAACACGGCAAGTAAGGCATTGCATGCAAAAATACACGACAGACGCAGAAAATTGTGCGGTAAAAACACATGCAAATCTCACTCCTCAAACAGCCGCATGAGCTGCTTTGCCACATTTTTTGTGCGTAAGACACCCCATTGGAACGAATGGGCTGTCCTATGCGGATGCACGAGAAACTGCAGAAATGCTGGCCGCGTGTTAATGAGGCCTTAGGTTGTAAGAGGTGTGCCTTTTTCAAGCTGAATAATAATGCTGCAACAATATAAATATAGTATGTTAATATACTGTAAACTGATACCGCTCAAGGGAATTCATCAGGTACACAACTTCCTATAAGTATTAAACATTTTAGGGTCCATTCACACAAAAAATGTACCTTAAAATGGAAGTCAACGGAGGTCCATATACTTGCAACTTCATACTCGGTTAAGATCTGTTGCTTTTTTTTATTTTTGTTTTGTTTTTTGCCAATCTTTATTTTAAATAACATGTCCTGAGTGCAGCACAGGATTTACCATTAGGCAGGGTAGGCACGTGCCTAGATGTGCCCCTCTATGGTATATATTCTGTCAACACAACACTGGCAATAGCAAGGAGGGTGCATTCTGCACAAAATGTACCCTCCTGCTCTGAGACCAGCGGCACCTACAGGAACCGCTGGCTTCCGCAAACACAGGGGAAGGACCCTGATGCTGCTTAAGGCTGCCCTGTAAAATGCCTGTCTGATGCAGACAGGCGCTTAGGGCAACTTTACGCGGGTCCTTCTCTGCATATGTGAAAGCTAGTGGGTCCCAGAGCAGGTAAGGGTGCCGGCTCAGGCTAAACAGCTCTCCATTCATGCCTACAGGTCCAAAAAAGGAAATCCAGCTCTGTCCAAGTAAATAAACTTCACTACAAACTTGTATTTTTTTAAACTTGTGTTGCATTGCATTTTTACATGTTGTGTGCATGCATAGAGCACGCTCTACTTTTTTTTCAGCACACTGCAATGCAACACAACGCAGCGACGTGAAGTGGCACCCTTCATGGGTTCCCTTCCGTTGACATCCATTGAAAAACAAACGGATCTGGTGTGAATGGGGCCTTAAAGCGAACAGGAAATATGACACAGAGTAGTGTAGAAACCCACCATTAAATGTGAATAAATTTTTTTTGTGGTGCTTTTAGAGTTCATGCTAGCTGTGACATATGGCATTGTTTAACTAACACAATATTTGTGTGTTTTCCGTGAATGATGCTTTACACTTTCTACACCCACATTGCAAATTGTGCACTGATCATAATTGAAAGGTATTGTATGAAAAATATGCCAAGATTACCCAAGAAACAGAAATTTTGATTATACAATCCCTCTAGAAGCAACATAAGGCACAACTGTACATTTAGAATGCTGCAGGGAATTACACAGAGAATCTGCATCCTATATAACTGCTGAGGTTCCCCGTGATTAGACCATTAAGTTCAGCTATTTGGTTGACATTTGAAAAAACCGATAGATGCTCAACACCTAATTAATGTGCCATGAGTCTGCATCAGAGAACTAGTGTGTAAGAAAAAATGTCAATCTATAGGTTGCTGGGTCACCTATTTTTATCATTACAGTAGAAAACGGAGTGTAGGGATTCAATATAATCACAGTATGGGATCGGGTAAGGGGGGTGTCTGAGTATTTATTGTAAGCCGCAGTAACGGTGTTTTTCTTTTATTTAAAGTGTATCTTGCATGAAACATAAACTCCTAAATATCAAGATAATCTACATTGTGCATTCACCTGAATGAAATGTGTAAACTGTAAAGCATTCAAAACTAGGCTAGTTCGCTGCATAATGTTGATTTCGACTTTCAGACCACGGCAAACTGACAATACAGCCCTTTAGCATGTCTGATATTTAGTTATATTAAAGCGACACTGTGATGCAAAATTATTATTACATATTCCTGTTTCCTGTAAAAGAAGACGGCATCTTTCCTGGTGCCTCTGCTACCGAACACTGTTACATTCATTGCTTCTCATGTTTCATAGTCTGCTGAAAAATCGACACTTCCAGAAGTATGATCTCGGGGTTCCCCTTCAGCTCTCATTGGTTTCTCTCTTGGACCACACTTCATTGCAGGAGAGGGTGGTGTCAGGGAACCCAGGGGATTGATACTCCCAGAAGTGCCAGAATCTCAGGGGACTTTGGGGGGCAAGAATTGGTGAACGTTGTTCGGTGATGCTAGCATTGGGAAAGGTGACTATTGACTGCTTTTTTTTTATATGTAGCAGCGGGGTACAAGTACATTTGGCATAAGCATTTATATATTTTGCACCTCCTAAGCTAACTGGTTTTTGCTGCCCCCCTCCTCCCCATTGTCCGGCAAGTCTTAAGCTGGTCATACTCGATCAAAATGCAGCCGTTTCCAAAATTCAGTGCTGGCTTTTCCAATAACACCTGGCTTAACAAAATCGGATTTTTCAATAGACTTTTGTCGATGGAGCTGGATGGAAAACTAGTGGCCGAACATCGACTGCAGTTACTGTTCAGGTATTCTGACAGCCGTGGGCGCTGGCAGAGGAGATTCCTCCATTCACACACTTTATCATAGATGGGGGAATCGAGTCATTTTTCTTGTTCAACAAGAAAAAAAAACATATGGTATACGGAATACATAAAAATGGTTCTGAGCCACCAGGGAAACCAGGACACCACACCCCTAATATAGTATAAGCAAAAAAAGGAAGAAAAGTGGGGCTTTTCAGGTGTCATTCTAGGCATGGAACACATATATTGCACATTTGTCTGTTAAAAATTCATTTTATTGTACAAATAATATAAATAAATAAATATATTACACACCCATATCATCTTCCTAAACATAATGTAGTCTAAAATCACAAAAGGCTTATAACCTCCCTGGACCACACGGCCACATTCTAGGCATCGGAATTGCAATAATCATTCAAAAATATTACTTATATTCATTTTAGATTCATCATGTATTGTCATATTGTTACAAAGTCTTGTATCGATATACTGTGGGTCCAATCTTCTACGCGTTTCACTAAAAAGCTTCCTCAGGAAGATAGGAGGCTGCCTGTAATATTTAAATATCATAGGTGTAACTACACATACTGTAACTATCCTAAATAGTGACACAAAGTTATTTTTGTATCACGTAATGAACAGACAACCGACATTGAAAAAGTGTACAAAGCCTTGTTTAACCCTTTTGGTTCCTGTCAGCTAGGGGTAATTGGATCTAAACCCATTTGTCAGCGCTGCCATGGAGTATAACCAGGAAAAGAAAATTACGGTAAGTATGATTAAATTTTCAGTTATATATAAAGAAATGAAAAATTGGGACTATTCATAATTAGTTTGCGTGATCCATACATATGAACACTGCCTCACACAAATGGTAGTATCCCCCCATATATACCCCCATTGAAATAAAGATGGGAGAAAGGGGATAATTCTCACCCACTTGTCAGGCTTTATAACTGGTATATGGTATATACTGTATATGGTATATGGCCAGCTTGAGTAATTCAGTAACAAGGTCAAATGTCATAGCAAAACAAGGCACACCAAAGCGCTTGGCAGAGACGCTAAAAGGGACAGTTCACCCTCTCTATCAGTACACCTAAAACCAACAACTAAAAGGATGGAACAGACTGTTACCCTACTCTGTTACTCTGTTAGCAGCTTGTTTTTAGATGTGCTGACCAATAGTAAGTGAACTGTGCAAAATGTGCAAACCCTTCAGGGTCATTACCAATGAAGATCTACCTGGATTACTCAGGCAGGCAGGACGGCAGTCTGGAAACTTGTATTTTACATGGAAGTGTTTTCTCCACAATTAGCAACATGGTGTGTTTGTTCCTCCCATGCCAGCCATGACACCCTAGCCAACCTCCTATGTTGCCTTTCCAGAAATATAGCCCTTGGTTTGAACACCCTGATTCTTGGAGCTCACTGTATTATAAAAATGTATAACTATTCCAAAGGGGGGGTAACATCTAAATAAAATTTGGTAGGACCAAATATATACAATGCAACATTTATTAGATGTGTGCTAAACCTGCATCTGCCGTATATCTGGTTATATTATAGAGCATGGGGCAACAGATACCACTACAGGAACCTGAAGAGTAAGTAAATAAATCAGAGACCTAGGAGTTGTAGTTAAGCAATAAAAGATGTCACCGATTAATAAATGGAGTGAAGAATGATATCAATCTCCGCAGATTTTGCTGCATTAAACCATACCGTTGACTGAAACATGAAACAGAATGAATATTCATATTTGATTCGGCTCTGAGCTCACACAGTATCGGGGCATTATGATTATGGAGAGCTGCCTCATTAGAATACAATGCAGGTGACTTATAACAGACTGCAGCTTCAAAGCAAGAGAAACAGAAGAAAAGTTCATGATAAAACTTCTGCAGCGCATTGTTATACAAGCACAAGTCTTCACAAGTTCTCTCTAATTATGGAACTTCACATCGAGGGACGTTCGCAATATTTATGCTAAACATCTATTACTAAATAGAATGCTCCGGCTCCATTTTAATGGATTCTGCTGATGGTAACACTTTGTC